AGCAGTAGGCCCTTGCAACAGCCACACCTGGCTAGCGAGGTGCAAAAATCCTACCTTGGTTTACAAAAATATGCCCATGGTGCATTGGTGTTTCTGGTGTTCGTGAACTTAGTTATGAAACTGCAGAGACGGATGTGGTTCTTAGCGCTCCATTTCTGACACATGTAGAAAGCTTTGACAGGAAAGACGGAGTAAAAGCACACGTGGATGTTGCTGACTCCTTTATGTTGCTGCTCGGACTGGCCGACTGACACAGGGATACAGTAGAGAAAATGTGATTTGTGGACAACAGAAATTGCTAGTTGAGAGTAGGGACTAGTGTCTGCAGACTTTGTAGCAAAAGGTAAGTGCTGTTATCTCTAGTGTAGGTACAAGTGAAAAGAGTCCTTGTATTTCTACTTTATCCCACCAAAATTAATATATTAAAGTGCTATATTAACAGCAAGGTTTTTTAAAATTTTTTTGCCACAGATGACAGTTACCAGGAACTACTGTGCATCTGTTTTCTCTGATAAGGCTTTTAACTGCACATATTGGTCCCTTTGTGTCTTTATTTTTTGTCTCTTCATAACAGAGCAATATTTCTTCTACAACACATTTTTGTGATATAGAATTGTGAGGGTTGGACGGGATCTTAAAGATCATCCAGTTCCAACCCCCCTGCCATGGGCAGGGACATCCCCCACTAGACCACATTGCCCAGAGCCCCGTCTAGCCTGGCCTTAAAAACTTCCAGGGATGGGGCTTCCATCACCTCTCTGGGCAACCTGTTCCAGTGTCTCACCACCCTCATGGTGAAGAACTTCTTCCTAACATCCAGTCTGAACCGATCCATCTCTATTTGTATTGCACAGTTACAGCAAATGCATAGGAGAAAGAAAAGAGCGAGGGAGAAAGGATTTCCACCTGTCTTATGTTGGTTTTGTTTGTTTTTAAATGGCAGATGCTTTCTTTACCTGTCGAAAGAATGTGCTTCTGGCGAAGAGCACGTCCACCCAGACAGGAGGTGTCTTTGCCACGACCAGAGGAAAGTCGGACCCAGAAGAGCAAGAAGCCCTTCTCCAGCAGTGGCTGGAGGAAGGAGCAGGGAATTTGCAAGCCACTGAGAGTGCCCCAGCAGTGGGGAACGTGTCAGTTACGCTCACTAGTGACTGGTTAGAGGGTTCAGAGCTATTGATGACTAGCCTCAGTGACCTGAATTTGGCTCCAGAAGTCACCCAGTGTGCTGGTCAGCAGCATACAGAGCTACACACCTTGGCTTCTTCAGAACCACAAGATCATGCAGTCACTGAAGTGGCAAAATTACCAGCAGAGGAAGCAGTGGCTGCAGCAGGCGGTGACCCTCGAGCACCTGTGATGCCACAGATAGATCACCAGATAGTTGGCCGTGCCGCTGTCGATGTGCAGAATGAAGACCCAGCTGTGCTGGCCTGGAGTTTAGCATGTGATGCAGAAACGGTGCCTATGAGCCCCCCAGCCTGGCCCATTCAAGATATGGTACAATTTTGTCCTCTCCCAACAGAGGTACCCTACCATGGTCAGTAGTAACAGCTCCGAATCTAATGTTCAGTTTGGGATTTGCATTTGTAGTGAATGTGACCAAGTTATTGTGTCTGGACTTGTGGTCACTAAGACACTGATTGTATTTGTCTATGCAGAATTGGCAGAATCTGCTACTGAAAACTATAAAGTGAGTTTTTGCTGAGGGAGGGCTGTCTCTGTGCTGTTAGACCATCTGCTCTGCACATCAGTGTATGTTCATTTCCCAGGAACTGTTCCCAAGTGCTGGTTTTATATTATAAAAAGCACCCAAAAGCTGGTGGAGTGTTTCAGTATGCTTGACCTCTGGTCTTCTGTTACGCCATCCCCATTGACAACTATCCAAAAAGAGCACTTGAAAACCAGAGTGGGCAGGGTTTGCTCAGAGCTTTGAGGATGAGAATGGCTATTTTCTAGGTCCCAGGAGCAGTGTACCCAGTATGGTGGTAACTTGGCTTTTTGTCTCTTGTATATAGAGATTTTGTGGAGAGACTGGGAAGATCTTTCTGTCCAGCCCAGTGTGCTAGAGCAGGTCCCCAAAAACACTCCTCTCTTTGAATTTCGAGTCATGTCTTACAACATCCTTGCCCAGGACCTGGTGGAGCAGAGCCCTGATCTCTACTTACACTGTCGTCCAGACATCCTGAACTGGAATTACCGCCTTCCAAATCTTTTGCAGGAGATACAACACTGGGATCCTGATGTAAGTATGACTGAGCCCTTCCCACATCAGTGTCACCAGAGTTTGAATTCCTTGCTTGATCTAACAGCATTGAAAGAAAAAAAAAAAAAAAGGCAAGGGGAGGTCCTTGGAAGATTCTACCTGCTTCATAACTGAACACTGATTCCTCGGAGAGTGAGGCCTTGGGTATACCTTTTTGTTGTCTGTTTTGCTTTGATTGTGCTGTTGTAGCAGCTAATCATGCTTTCATAGCAGGGCTTAACTTCTTTGAACAGCAGAAGTAGAGGAAGAAGAGATAAGATGTGTTTGAGGAGGAAGGGGCCAGGTTTGTAAGGCAGCACAGGAGAGGAATCCTGCCTACAAGAGGAATTCATGACTTTCTCTGTTCCCTGAGTCCTCTTTATGTGATGAAGCATCTTTTGCCTCATCACTAGAAAACTGAATGATAAGCCAGTGTGGCCTAGAAGGTTATTGTTCTCTATGTGGAAAGTACAGAACGGTTGCAGTGATGACCTTTCTGGTTGCAGAGTTGATATGTGAATATGCTTTTCCACTTTCTTCCTTCCTCAAGACAAGGTAACTAGCGAATACTGGTGGAGCAAGTGAGGTCTCTGCCTTCCTTCCAGGTTCTGTGTCTCCAGGAGGTGCAAGAGAACCACTACTGGGAGCAGTTGGAGCCAACATTCAGGGAGATGGGTACGTCTTGCTTTCGTGTGTTGGTACCTCCAGCTTATGGGACTGGCCAAGCAGCATTTCCTGCTTAAGAATGTCTCCAAAGCACTTGGTTTTGAGAGAGCTCTTCCTGTTTGTCAGGCGGCTGCTGGCAGTGCTTCTGAGCTGTCTGGCTGGACCTTTACTCTTTCTTTTCTAATTAGTCTTTCTCAGAGAAACAAAACTGAGAGGGTCCTGGAAGGAAGAAGGAGAAAATGCTCTTACTGTCAATGATAAACTGTGGTTACTTGAACAGGGTGTAATGCTGTGCCCAAATGTAGTAGGAACCCCTTCTGGTACATAGACCTTTTGAACTCCCCAGCTGATGGGGGCAGCTTGAGGTAGTGACTGGGTAAACCTTTTAATAGGTGGTGGTTTCTTTTCAGGCTTTGAATGCTGCTATAAGCGGAGAACTGGGACAAAGACAGATGGCTGTGCAGTGTGCTATAAGCACAGCAGGTTCCAGCTGATCAGCCTCAGCCCCATAGAATATTTCCGACCTGGTGTGGACATCCTCAATCGGGATAACGTGGGCCTGGTGCTGCTGCTACAGCCTCTGCTCCCGGAGGGCCTGGATCTGGAGGCAGTCAGTCCTTTTTGTGTGGCCAATACTCACCTGTTGTTCAATCCCCGGCGGGGAGATATCAAACTGGCCCAGATAGCCTTGCTCCTAGCAGAGATCGACAAGATTGCAAAAACTACTAAAGGCAGCTACTATCCTGTCATCTTGTGTGGAGACCTGAACTCCGTACCTGATTCTCCGCTCTACAAATTCATCCGTAATGGTGAACTTTCCTACCATGGGATGCCAGCCTGGAAGGTAGGTGCCAGCAAGAACTGGGATTCAGTAGCTCTATGTTACATGCTGCTGGAGAAATGCACGGCTGCATTCTTTCTCTCATGAGGAAGTAGTGAGAATATTGAATTTAGTTGTTCAGCAGTCATCCCCAATGCCTCCAGCACTAATGGGGAAGTGTAAAGAAGGAGGTGAGGAGCAC